CTTTCCGTTGGTTTACTTCTTGGAATTCTAAGGCTATGATTAGTTGGACGATGTGGATGCAAAACTCAATTCTGATGTAATTTGTTTTTTCCTCTAGCTTCTTGCTAGAGTGTTTTGGTTTTGGTTATAAAATTTGCTGCTGTTCTAAAAAAAATACTAAGAAAACATGGAACTTTTCAACGTATTTTTTTCTTAGTGTTAACTTAATCCCATCTTAAGAGGCAAATGCATGGTCATTTAAGATCCCCTAAAAACGACGGTGTGAGCCTTCTGCAAAGACAAATTTGCACTGTGTTTACATGTACATTAATCCTTGTAAGTTGCATGTTTGCCTTCTCCTAAAGCAACAAAGATTTACAACAAGTAATTCACAAAAATAACCATGCCTCAAGATGGTCTTTTTAAGCTGTTTGTTTGTATTCACTACAGTCAATTTAAAACAATACAAAATGAACAATATTATTAGTGATTCAAGAAAATGTGATATATTTGAAATATGTAAAAGCAAAGATGATTTATCAACTTAGATATAATCCATGATATATGCTAGATCATTGTCTTCCTGTGAAGTGTCTACTTCAACAGACATCGTTTATGAAAGTTTCGACAATATATGTTGTGATGTAGTGGTTTTTCTCGCTCGTTCTCAACGTCTACTATACATACAATGTGACAACCCAAGAACTTCAATCATGTACTCTTAGTCAGTTCAATCAATATTTAACTTGTTTTGTCGATTTCTGGTACTATTTAAGGGCTCATTTAAGTGTTCTAAGCTTGAACTTGACCGAGGTTGAGATTAGGAATGAGTCATCATGCCATATAGTGAGGAAAACGGGCCATACACACCTCTTGGAGGAGTGTACGGCCGTACACATGGGTGTGCGGCCGCACACCCACTCCCTTGGCAGCACACCCACTTTTGGGCAGCACTCTCTCCCCTATATAAAGGGTAGACTCCTTTCCCCTTCATTCTTTTCACTCCTTGGCAGCAGACAACTCTATTCTCTCAAGTTTCTTCAACTTTGAACCTTCCAAAGCTTCAAGAACGTGAGTACTTCTTCCTCTAGCTTACAATCCATGAAAGACCCCCTCTATCTAAGCCTTAAGTGTGCAAAAATGGACATGTTCTTCGTGTTGGAAGTGAGTGCGGCCGCACACCCTCTTAAGGTGGCCGCACACCCTTAAAACACCCTCCAAAGTGAGAGTTTGACTTCTATATTTGAGATAGACATCCCCCCAGCTTTGTTGCACCTTGGAATGGACTTTTTGGGCATCATTTTGTGGGGTGTACGACCGCACACACCTATGTACGGCCGCACACACTTAAGTGTGCGACCACACACTCAAGTGTGCGACCGCACACCTTAGTGTGAAACCACATACCCATCATAGGGCCGCAAACCCACTTTTAGGACCCCTATCTTGCACTACAATTGAGTATAGACCTAGAACAATTCGTAGATGTGAGTATAGACCTTGAGAACACTTCAAAGGCACCTCCTTTCATGAGTGTACGGCCGCACACCCATGGCCGCACACACACTCAAGGTGGCCATACACTCCCCATACTCAATCCTACAAGGTTCTATCACTTGGTGCAAGTAGTTCCAAGTCCCTAGAGTGTTTCCCTATGGTATTTAGTGGTGAAATACCTTCATTTGACTCCTATGTGTGTCATTGCATGTTATTAGGGTCAATTTGAGTTCGAGGTTTCGCTAGACACTCAACATCCCTTACCGGTCTTTCGTGCAACCCACTCGCTCAAGGTGAGTTCATACCCCTACATTTTCCGTGTTTTTAATGTTTCCAGGGGGGAATACAAGCCAAACTCAAAGTATTTTATTAAGTTTTAAACTTACTAATGCAGTCCAACGATTTCCACGTTTAATAACATATTCGGATATTTTATCTCTTTTTGTAATATGTTGAGCATAAGGGAAACTATTATTTTGGAAATCTAACTTCATGGCTTTCAGAAAGGTTTTTACAAAGCATTTTCCATACAAATTCTAATAAACTATAATGAGTATAGTTTGGGATAACCCTCTAGGCAGTCTCTACCTAATCAGATTTCATAAATGAATATATATAAACTATGGAAGATTTAGTTTATGTATATATTTTCTCAGGAGTATAAAGTACTATTATTCAAGGATAATTATTGTTTTATACTGTTTCTCGCTAGTAAACTAGATTATACAGAATTGTGAGGCTCTACTTCAACACTGTACTCTTAGGTGTATAGTGATAAATCCTTTTAGTATAACCAGAGTCTCCTGGAGGGAGAGCGTGAGATTTGTGAATAGATCTATTCGGGACTGACAATCCCACACCTGAACTGCTAGCTACAGTTAGGCGGGCACGCCTGGGGTGAACAAATGTCATTTAGCTTAACGCCTGAAGAACGTTATAAAGGTCTCTCGGTCATATCAAGTATGGTTATACGACTCGCAAATAAGTATAAACTAACTTTGTTTACGGACTCTACCCTACATTAGTTTTATTTTCAGTAATAAAACTACTTTTATATATACTGATAGTATTTAGAGATTTCTAAACTGGCATCTCTACCTCTAGGACGAATAACATGTTTTCTAAAACTGATGGTTTATCTTCTACTAATAGATACTCTTTCAACGCTACCTTTCATAAGAAAATATAAGATTTTCTTGAGGAACACTTTTCAAAAGAATCAAAAAACATTTTTCTCTAAAACTAAATGCTTATGAACTCACCAGCTTTATGCTGATATTTTAAAACTGCTTGTATTCTCAGGAAATCAGTAGACAGGTATCTGCTGGATTTTTGAGAAGCTGGAGCAATAAGAGTCTTATGTTTATATTATATATATACTCTCTGATGTAATTCAAACAAGTTTTCAAACTGATGTAAACATTTTCATATATATATACACTGTGATGGTTGTGTTGCTATGGTTGCTATTATACATTGGTTGTGATGCTATACCTGACGTCCTGCGCCCCGGAACGTTTCCGCAATCGGTTTCGGGGTGTGACATACAACATTATCTACATATCACAAATAATTTGTGATCTCCTTCGCAATCTATTTATGTAACCAGTTGGAAGTAAAAACAATTTCGCAAAGAATAAATTTTATGTGTGAGAAAATATCGAGCTTTTGTAAATATGTGATCGATAGTTCATGATCATTCATTGTAGTTACCAAAAAATAAGATCCTGAAATTTTAATTTTAGAGAATAACTCTCCGAAAAAACAAATAGAACTAATAGATTTCCTTGATATTTGCAATAATACTTAATCCTAAATGATTTTATATAAAAAGAACACAATAAACCTTGCCATCTCGTATTTGTTAAGTTGTCAAATATTGCAAATACTATGAGGATGATGTTCATTTTTATATTTAAATCTGAGTTTTATAGGTATTTTCCAACCGTCGACTACCTTTTAGATAAAATAAAACATACCTTCTTGGTTTATATTATTACATTCGCATTATGTGTGTATTTAATGAGATTATATATGGTCCACTTTACACCTACAAAATATAGAATATCCTCATATAATCCAAATTAAAGATAAGGCATATGTCCAAGAAATCTTTAACCTTATAACTTCTTTTCTTTTCCATTAATGAACATCACACAACTTAAATTTTCAGCCTTGTTTGTGGTCATTTTAGTTTTCTTTTTTATATAATTCAACTTTAAATTTATAAAAATCATCCAACAAACCACCATCATCACAATGAACTTTTAAGAGTTTTGAATATTGAGCTTTTTTTTTTTTTCTAAAAAATCCCGGTTAGCAAAAAACTTTGATACTATCAGCTTCCGCTTAAAGCCTTAAAGATTTTCAACCAACTTTTCTTTATTTTATTAAATTTACTCATTTGCCTTTACAAAAGAATTAAAATAAATAAATAAAATAAAAACAAACTTATGGCCTATTTTAGATTTTTATGTAATTTATAACTTTAAAAGTTTACAGGTACTCTTCACAATCATCAATATAAATAAATGTTAGAACTTACAAAAACTAACGCATCATCGATATGAATAAATGTTAGAGCTTACAAAAAATAACACGACATGATAACCTAATACAAAACAAACAAATTACTTAAATAAACAGAACAAGTTAATGAGACACAGAAATAAACAGGTAGCTTAACTGTTTCCACATTTAATGTTTCAACACTAAACATATACTAATGTCTACACTTAAACCCTATAACCCAACAAAAAATAATATGATTTAGATTAAAAAAATATATCTATCCATTTCAACACAACATTAAAAAGTTTAGGGAAACTAAATAATTTAACCATTATAAACGAGATTTTTAAAAAAATAACCATTTTTTTCGGTTGTTGAAAAATAACCACTTTCTCCGAAAGAACTCATTCCAAAGTATTGTTCATATTCTGGATTCTTTTTTGATAATTTTCAAAGAATTTTTTTTTTTAAGATTTCGAATATTACATTTTGTAATATTTTATGTCACCGTTTTTTAATAAAATATAAAATTTTATACATTAATATTGTATATATACTATATAAGTTCGATCATGTTTATTTAATTTTTTGTTAAATTAAGCAAAAAAAAATGATTTTTTTTTCTTGAAATTCTAGAATTATTCTTCGGATTTCAGACTTGTTTTTAAAATTTTAAAATTTTATTTTTCGAATTTTGAAATTTCAGTCTGAAAACTTAAATGTTTATCCAGAATTCGGAATGTCTTCCAAAATCGGCAAAAAAAATGTTTTTTTTGATTCAGAATGTTCATTCTAGACAAAATGGTTATTTTTGTTTAAAAATAATAGTAATTATCACATTAATTAAAAAGTTGTTAGATTTCTTAATTTCCAAAAGGTTTATCTGATTAAATTCTTGACAATCGTTTTCTAGTTGACACATATTGCTTAACAACCATTAAACAACACCCGACAAAAAAAAAGTAGCTCTCAATTGAACTCAATAAAATATAACAGATATTAACTAAATACTTTGCTGACAAAAATAATTCACAATAATATCCTCAACAACGACAAATACTAAAGAAAAATTCCATCAATCAAAATCATTAAAGAAAAATCAAATTCAAACACTGCTACTTTCCCATAAGTCCACTATATTAATAATTATACCAAACACAATAAAACATTAACTAAAAAAAGTCACAAATTATGGGAAATTCAGTTACATCTCACAATATCTTTTTGATAATATCAAACCCTAGAAAAAGTTCATGACTTAACTCTTTCAGAAAAGATTCGATCTAAAGATCTTGAACGCTCAAACCTGTATCAATTAAACAAATTGTGTTATAAATTTTCCAAATCTGGTAAACATAAAAAAAAAAGGTTTAATATTATCATAAACAGTTTGCTTTATGAAAATAGGTTTTGTCAGATTTTTACAAAAAATAGGTAGTATATTACAGTTTTGGTCCCAGTAGTATACATCTTTGTGCTGGTTTGATACTAGTTTTAAAATTTTGACACCACTGATCCTCAAGATGTAAAAAGACGAAAATGCCCCTCTTTTTGACAACTATAGAGAGAGAGAGAGAGGAACACGAACCAGGAGGAAGAGATTGCTTCAGCTTATCTGCCTTCTCCTTGTCAAAGACGCATAAAGTGTAAAGATACTTTGAGCAACGAACTTTGAATTTGACAACATCTTTGCTTCTTTTGATCTTCACAGATCTTGCATCCTTTCTTCTTGCAGTTAAAAGGAAATCCTTGATTTCATGAATTTGCTTCGGCTGAAAATGGAAAATAAAATAAAAGTAAAAGATAAGCATAAGAACAGTACTTCTTCACATTATTATTTGAAACCATCAATATAGATTACACAATCAAGTTGAAACCAACATTGTTCTGGGAATCCTTGAGTGAATTTTCACATAATGTTAATAGTGTAATTGACAAATTCTTTCAGAGTTAACAATGGAGGACATGCTGGAATATATTCAATGTGATGAAAGAAAAGACACTAAAACGAAACAGAAAACCGAGACACCGGATGACTGAAAAGCAAAAATTACAATTTCTAAAATAGTTCGAGCTAACTTTACAGATAAAAATCTATGTTTTTTTTTAGAAATAAAACCCTAAATTCCAATAAACAACTGCGCTCTCGAAACTAATTGAATCGATATCGGTTTCGAATCATAAAACTCAAAAGCTTGTTCACCCGCATTTACAGATTCAAAATCAAACTTGTAATGATCAAGTCAATATATCTCTTAAGGGAAACCAGACTCAGTTAGTTCCAGCTTCATGGAGATGAAGTCTAGCAGCTGCCATAATAACGATAAAACCCTAATAATCATGAACTATTGTACCAAAACATTCGGATACAAGCTTAGATACAATGCAATCTACAAGAAATTATATCTTAGGACAGCAAAACTGCAATCAAATAAGAGATAGATTGGGAGAGAGTACCATTTTTGCAGGAGGAGAACTTACGGCAGCCGAAGTAAGAACTGTAAACCCTAGTTTCGCAGAAATATAAAGAGAGTCGATGGATAACATGGGCCAGTCAATGCATATGGATTTGTCCTCCTTAACAAACTCTAATGGGCTTTTAATAATTATTTAAGCCCATTAAAATGTAAGTGGACTGTGGTATACTTCGAATTTCGACCGTAGCATATGATTTTTTTTTATAGTTAATCATAAAAATACCAAAAATTGATCGAAGAGGCTCTATAAGGGAGGAGGGAGTCGTTCCCTCCCAACCCATCGAACCGAACCCACTGCCACATCAATTTTTCTCTTTTATTTTTCTTCATTTTTTCCGAACCCACAACACATGGAAATCCTATCTTTTTTGAACTCACTCAACCCACTCAATTAAAAAAAATACAAAACAACTAAGGTACAAGTTTTAAAACACATGGTACAAGAGAAAATAAGAAAGAGAAAGTAGAGAGAGATAATGAAGTGGGTTAATGAAACCAATCAACCCACTCGTTGAAGCGGGAGTGGTACCGCCGATAACTCTATTGCTAATTAAGATTTACATTTGATTGTTTTGTATTTTTTTTAATTGAGTGGGTTCAAAAAGATAGGATTTCCGTGTGTTGTGGGTTCGGAAAGATTAAGAAAAATAAAAGAGAAAAAATGATGTGGCAGTGGGTTCAGTGGGTTGGAAGGGAATGACTCCCTCCTCCCTAATAGATTGACTGTTATGTAAATATAAAAAAAACATTATTTCTAATCCAACAATATCAAATGTTGTTTTTTTTAGGTTGATAGTTTTGTCTGGAACATAGATAAAAATATTATATATGTCCACACTATATAACATGTTTATTTGATATTTTGTAACATTACTTGTCCACACTATACTTTGTAAGATCTATTTAAAACTTGAAAGAAATCTTAGAGTACCAACATGCGCAAACAATTTGGAAACTAATTAAGTAGTTAAAACACTTTGAAAGAAATCTCATAATATCAACAAAGTGGTAACTAACCGAGTGTTCTTATATTTTCTTGTTTATATACATATATTACTTGTTTTCTTAATTTTTTTTGTTTGGTTTCATTCAGCAATATTCATACATTTTTCAAAATGTATCCAAAGACCGCGTGTTGCGTTTAAGGGAGGAGAGAGTCATTCCCTCCCAACCCACTCAACCCACTACCACATCAGTTTTTCTTTCTTTTTTTCTTCATCTTTCTCAACCCACAACACACAGAAACCATATCTTTTTCAACCTACTCGATTAAAAAAAAATACAAAAAAACTAAGGTACAAGTCTAAATTAGCAATAGAGCTACCAGTGGTACCTTCAAGATACCACTCCCTCTTCAGTAGGTTGGGAGTGGTGGTTTGTTTAATTAGTTTCATTAACCCGCTTCATCCTCTCTCTCTCTCTCTACTTTATCTCTTTCTCTCATTTTCTCTTGTATCATGTGTTTTAATATTTGTACCTTAGTTGTTTTGTATTTTTTTTAATTGAATGGGTTGAACGGGTTGAAAAAGATAGAATTTTCATGTGTTGTGGGTTAAGAAAATATGAAGAAAAATGAGAGAAAAAACTGATGTGGAAGTGGGTTGAGTGGGTTGGGAGGGAATGACTCCCTCCTCCCTAAGGGTCGACGGAATCGTCCTCGTCCTTCCCGCTACCCGCCAAACCCTTTGTGGAGGGAGCCGAACCCGCCTAAACAGCATCCCTCCCAACCCATCTTCCCCATATTCCTTCTCTTCCAGCGGTTTGAGGAACCCTCAGTACCCTCTCTTTCTCTCTTGCTCTCCTCCCGCTCATCCTTCTCCTCCTGCTTGGTCAAACCCGCTCACTCCAACCCTCTACGATTCCCTCCTCCCTAAGTAATGTTTTTTTTTAGATTACATTGCTATAAACGAAAAAAAACACCCATTAAGCAAACTCAATGCCCCTAAGTTTTATATTTTTATATTAAAAAGTTTAGAAACAATGACTATAATGAGAGAAGCTATTATGTTATATACCTCGGAAAGGAGAGATGTTAAAACAACTACTCCTTCTACTTGTGTATGCTAGTGGGATGATACTCACATGAAAACAATTGCATACTTTTCAAAAGTTTGTAAAAGATGATGCAATTATTCATCTATTGCATTGGATATTATCTTCCCCTAAAATCACTAGCGGATGTTCATCTGTTGCCTTGAACAATACCTTAACTTTCTTTAATATCTTGCAAAAGGAAGTAAAAAAATCAAGAATAGGATGCAAATTGTATTATTTTTGCTTTTCATAAAAAATCAACTCATTTAGACCATTAAAAACTAAATGAACTACTTATGCTTACAAATACACCGCTTAAGGTATGCTTCCTTTATGAATATGAGACGCAAGTTTCAAGACAGTATTTCATATCCATGAAAGGGAGAATATCATAAATAAGATCAAGAGGTAAGGTGTCTAATCTATCCCTTTATGCATCAATCATAGCTTCATTAATCATAGGATATGGTGTTCCTCTCTACCAAACAATGATTTGTATTATTATTGAACATGCAAATGAATATATTGTAAAGCAGCTTATAGAATATGGGCTTAATAATATAGCAGCATGGATTTGACCCAACCGATAATGTTTTGTACTCGCTACTTTTAGCATCGCCTATGTTTGAATGTGTTGTCAATTTTTCGTCCAACAAATCGAAAAACCCTATTTTTTTCCCAACTTGATTGCTTCTCCGATTCAAAAACCTTAATTTTCATTTCAGTATGCAGTTTACATTCAGAATCAAAAGTTAAATTCCCTATACACATACATAATATTATTGTTAATCAAACGAAATGAAATCTATCAACCTTCAAACATATTTCATATAAAATCAAATTTCATTACTCCTGAAAAAATCTATCCACAGTGACAGTTCCATATTATCAGTGGCAAATCTAGAACAAAAAATCACGTGGTTCCTAAATTAAGTGAAGCCAATAAAAAAATCAACAACACTTTTGGATGTCGGGTCACGTACATTAAAATCGGTTAAAATCGATCAAGCGCCACCGATTAAAAATTATAAAAACCGATTAAAATATAACTGAAAAACTCGTACGGTTTAACGAAAAACTAGTTGATTATTAGTCAACTAATATAGGCGAACGGAGAGTAAGAGTCTTTGGCATATGAACTTCTTTTATTAGAGCAACTTATTTATTTATTAATATTTTGAGAGTGCCAATTAAAAGTGATTAACTTTTTGTTATCAATCTCATAATTTAAAATAATAAATTGCCCCTAATAACTTATATTTTTCTCTTTTTAAAATGGTTTTTTAAGAACTCAAGGTAGGTCCTCTAATTTTTCTAAGGTATTTCCTAGTTTTTCTACTATATACATTGTAAATGGAATTGAGAACTTAGGTAGGTCCTAGGACCTACCTAAGCCCTTGGTAGATACGCCCCTGCATATTATATAAGTTTTTTTTAATTAAGTGTACTTTAGAGAATGTATTTACCACATACAATGAAAACAGATTGCTATATTATTTCATATTCTCCAAACTATAGAAAGGAATAACTAACATAAATAAAATGTGATTTAAGATAAAAGCACATGCTTGGTTCCTATGTTGAGTATTCAGATTAACCGAATAAACCTAATCCTTCCTAATAAATAAAGAACTTTTTTGCCACATGTCATTCTCTAATGAGTTTTGATACTTGTCATTTTGTGATAATTTTTAGATAAATAATATCCACATGTCAATTTATGGTTTTTTCTAATTTTAAAAATTAAAAGGCCACATAATACTTATAGTTATATATGTAAATTATCAAATGTAATAAATATTATACTAAATTGCTATTAATATGTTTCTTCATTCCGTATTTCAAAATTTTATTTTAAAAAATACTTATTATTTACATTTTAATATTTTATTTTTTTAATCAACCCGTGTAATACACGGGTTTACACCTAGTAAATGATATAAATTTGATATAAAATAGAATCGCCTACTCTCTTTTCAAATTTCAAGAAATCTAAAATGAATTTCAAAAGGTATTTTCAACCCAAAGCATAACCACTTACTTTAAAAAATATTAATTATAATTTTTCCAAATCAAGAAAGATGGTAAGCCTAGAGTGGGGTCTTTAAAAGCACAAAATATAGTCTTGATTAGGGGCTGTTTGGCAGGATCTGAATTTTTAAGATCTGAAATTTTAAGAGGTCTGAATTTTTAAGAGGGTCTGGAATTTTAAGAGCTGAATGTTTAACATGCTGTTTGGTTGAGACCTCTGAATTGTTGTGTTGAACTATTAAAATGACCATTTTACCCTTCTGTTTTATTTTTTATTGAATTCAACTGTTTATTTAGAAAATAACCTAATAAATTTCTTAAATATGTATTAAAAAAAAATATAAACACCATATAAAATCCAAATGTAGCATAAATCAAAATTAAACAAAAATCCAAATCAAACATAAATATTTTTAAATCCACAAAATCATACTAAAATCCAAATAAAATCCTACAAATTTAATTTCATCCCAATTGATTCGCAATCTGGTCACGCAAATTATTCATGTATTCATTTCCTTGTGAACCCCATTCCATATCGTGTACGTTTTCGCCATCATTCTCTCCCCCTTGTGCTTGAGCATTGTTCTCCTCGAACGCCATAAATAACTCATCATGAATATCGCATTTCCTTATGAAATTGTGGACTGCAAAACAAGCAACGACTATATCTCTTTGCACTGAAAAAGGAAAAGGAACCATTCGCTTTAGGATTGGGAATCTCGCCTTCAAAACACCGTAAGCACGTTCAATAACATTTCTGAGTTGCGCATGCGCATGATTGAATTTTTCTTCCTTAGTTAACGCACGTCGTCGTCGATAATCGGCTAACCAATACCTCGTGTTGCGGTAAGGAGTCATAAATCCACGAGTGTTGGTGTATGCAGCATCGCAAAGGTAATATTTATCTATACACATGAGTGAAGGAAGTATTATATATAGAAATTTAATATTGTATTTTAGAATAAATTTAAAAAGAATTAAAAACCTGGAGGAGGGAACGGA